CACACACACACACACACACACACACACACACACACACACACACACACACACACACACACACACACACACACACACACACACACCATAGAAATAATAGATATAGAATGCGTGCTGATGACGAATCATGTCTCCACTTTTTCACCGTGCGTGCCCTTTTGAATGCGCCATTTTGAATTTTGGCTAGGAGTGCAAACTACAAAGTATATACAAAGCTAAAACTACGTTTTCATCGTGAAAACGTTTTGTCTTGTTGTCTAATTTGTAGTTTGGGGATAGATTTTGAGTTCCTTGAAGGCACAAACTGTCAAAGCAAAATGTGCAGTTACAAAACGGTGAAAATCGTGCAGCCTTGTAAAAACAAAGTAGTTTCGCGAAAATATAATTTACTCATAAAACATTTTTGCATGCTCTGAACGTAACTGTTTTGCTAATATCTTATAAGATTACAAAATGATAGTTCTTTCTTCGTCGGGTTTCATTTTTCTTCAATGTAAACAAAGTTTTTCATGTTCTTGCATGAAACAAAAATATTTAGTTGTCGATAAACAGTAAATTGCCTAAAAATAATCGTCGAAAACTATGGTTTCAAAAGCGTTGCCTCACTCAAGGAAACGTAGAAAAATAGGAAAAGTAATTGTGTAAGTTTAAAAAAATTATTTAACTCCATTTATATTATAAAAGAGTTGAAATATTTGTAGAACATACCTATTGAGTTTGTCTTCATCTTTCGTGTTTTGTTTTGGCTTGCAGAACAACCGTAACGTTGAAAATTTCTTTTTTAAACGACGATTTCTGCATATATTCTGTTCAGAACTATTGCTTTTCGTAAAAAAGCCCACTGGAATGGGTTTTTAGACACTTTTCCATTTTAAGTCTCGATATAAAATTTTTTGCAAACTTTTCAGTTGAAAAAACAATTCGCACTCCCTGCAACCGCGCGAAATTCCTTGCCTCAGATGCCCTTTTCAATGCGCCATTTTGTGGAGACAAATTTTTTACTGAGAAAAGATAGGAGCACGCATTCTATGTCTATTATTTCTATGACACACACACACGCGCAAACACTCAATGTGCTCCCTTGGTAAACAGCCATTCAGCTAATTTAAGTTTACTCGATGGTTGTTTACAGAAAACATTAATCATAGCACCACGAGTTTGTTTACATAAGAACTGAGCGGGGTGTGGAAACAGTTGCGTGTGTTTTTTTTTCGTGACTAGACTAACTTTCTAATCGCACGCAGTTTCCCGTCAACTCATTTCCTGCATGTGTGAAAAAGTTGCCACCATGAATACCCGCTGTTATTGCACACAGTTGCCCTGATTTTCAGGTTTTAGAATTCAGTGAGTAGTGTTTCGCTCAGTTTACATAAATGCTGCCTGTACATTTCAGAACGTCTTCGTTTCGATTCATTTATGTCTCAAATATTGTATGCATTATTAATTTATAGCTGCTCAGCCTTAGTTCAACTGACTACACTCTACACTCTACACTCTACACTCTAATTAAAAAAAGGTTAGCCTTTGCAAACCTTAACTCTAAACCTTAAACCTTACTCTAAGCGTGCAAAGCATAATGGGAGCACCATTTCTTAGAGACATGGTAAATATCTCCTTACGAGAACAATTCATTCACAAATAGTTACAATATTGAAGTACTAAGCTTGAAACTTGAAACTCGAGAGCAGGCTACGCTGCTGTCGTTCATCATGTTCATGATTTTTTAATATGAGGTCAAAGACAAAGTATACGACGACTTCTCGTGGACACTATTTGAAAACATTATCTTTTGAAATAACCAGAAACCAACCTCAAATATCATTGTATAAACGTGCCAACTTCATTTTGACAACACAATGGTATTAATAATGTTTGGTTTCTTGTCATTACTTGTCTGGCGTAATGTTTTCTTGTCCTGTTCAGCACGCATCTACTCCGATCGTGTTTCACACAAGGCTGAATTTTTTATTCAGAGACTATTAAAAAAATGATGGAAAAATTGTTAGCCGTGCTAAATTTCACGAATTCGCTGAACTCTACTTGATCCTACCCAATTTGATCCTACCTAATTTGTACTATTCGGTGTACAGTAAGACAAGCACGCGATAGGCCTGATCTGGCAATGCGGCGCGATATTTCATATTTTGAAATGGAAAATTGTCCACGAAAGAAAACGTTAGTAGAGCAGACGAATTAAGATGTAGCGCGCTATAACATTTTCAACAACATTGCATCAGGGGCAACTTTATTTTGAAAACTGAAAACTGGCGTTGTGTCGCCTTACGCGTCTTGTGTAGGTGTCGGCTGGAATGTGCAAAACAACACTATAATTACATCGATTTAGAATAACAGTCTGCCAGTAAGGTTTGTTTGGCTATTACTATTAGCCGGAATTCCTAACACACATGTAATTCCTAGCCTTTCATTTCCGGCACGCGTATCTACCATCCCTCATATTCAATACTAATCTTAATAATTAGAATGATTTTAAGTGCCAAACAATAATGTATGTGTGGTCACTTCCTATATGTCAATGGTGACCACAGTATGTTATAATCTAATATAGATAGGCCATTAGATAATCTAATATAGATACAACCTCGTTCCCAGATAGGCCAAAAAGATTGACGTGTTTTTACGAATTCCTCTCACCAGCGATTATGTATCCCGCGGTCGAATTTGCGAAAACTTTCAGGTTTTCAGCGCGTGTAAAATTGTTTTCACGTATGATTAATCCTTCAGGATTTTTTCGAAAATATCAAACTGCATTCTAGTATTACTAAAATAAATGCTTAAAACATTATCTTAATGTTTAGGCTTAGGGACCGGTCATTAAATATGGCAGGGGGGGATGGAGGAGAAAGTAGGGGGTCCTGAATTATTTTTTCATTGAGATGGAGGGTCTTGAAAATTACATTATGTGAAAGGGGGGGGGGGTCTTCGGATTTTTCCCAACAAAAGGATTGTTTCTCGTTATATACTATGAACAGCCAAAAGAGATGCATAAAATGCCCTTTAAACTGGAACACTGGGTATTAACATAACGAGTAAAGCATAAAAAACATAATATAAAAGTGGATGTAGGCGAGACAAGCATAGGCCATAGAGTAACCTACCTAAATAGATTGTAAAATATTTAACTAGTTTCATCAAATTTTATACCTCTTCATTAATCACTTGCTCTCCTAAGCTTTGTCCTAATCGGGCCAGCCATCAATACAAAACTATATTTTCAAGCGGTACAAGAGGGGGGTCTTTAAAAAGTATAAAATGCATAAGGGGGGGGGGCCTTGAAAAGGCATATAATTTTTGAGGGGGGCCCCAAAATTTTTTTCAAAATTTCTAGTTTCTCCTCCATC